CTACTCATCCGATTTCAAAAATTCTTTCACCAATATTTAGAATGGAACCTCAGGGTGGACATAGGCTGTATATTATTCCGTTAAACATTCATATAAGTTAAAATATATAATCTAGGTTAAGGCTTTTATCTCTAAAGATGGCGCTACAAGTACGATGCCCTAAGTTTGCTTTTCTGTGAAAATGAACTAAAGCAGATCATCATCTATCTATCTATATAAATAAAAATGTAATGTTCGTTTGTTCCTACCGATTCCTTTGAAATTTTGACACAATGCTGCATTCGAATACGCACGTGTTTTTATATAATATCTGTGTCAAAATCCCCCTCGGGGGAGAGATGGACAGGATTAAGGCTTACCGTAAAGTACTCTGCTTCTATTTATACTATTTTAGATGCAGTTTTTTGCATTTTTGATTGCGTTTTAATAGGGTACATCAACAGAATATACACTACAAACGGATTTTTCAATATTCCCCCCGCGGGGGAGAGGTACAGGATTAAGGCTTACCGTGAAGAACTTGGCTTCTTTTATACTATTTCAGATGTGGTTTTGTGCATTTTTGATTGCGTTTTAATAGGGTACGTCAAGAAAATGTACACTAACGGATTTTTCGAAAAATTCCCCCCATGGGGAAAGTGTTATACATTTATAATAGATACATTTTGAGCCACAACAACGTGTGGCGGGGTCTGCTAAAGTAGCAGACCCTCGCCAAAAATTATTCTTTTTTTATAGTAAAACTTACTATAAAAAAAGAATAATTTTTTCACTAGATTTATATGGTTTTTTTATATTGATATATTATAACTTAAATATTTTATTATGAGTTGGTTAGGTTTATATTGGATAATATTGATAATAATACTGACAGTCCATTCTTCATTAGGCCATTATATAAAATATTGATTATTATTGTATAATTTTTACATATACTTATATATAAAATCAACCACAGAAATTTTCATTTTTACTGATCAATTAATTTAATGAAGTGATATTTGATGACTTTCTGAATTCTCATTATGAGTTTGTTTCTTTTTCTTATTTTACTGTGATTAATATTGATTTAGCAAATTTAATCAAATAAAAGTATTAAAAACAATAGTTATTTATTTTTGAAACTGCTAAATGTAATAAAAATTAACTTATAAAAGTTTTTATAATTGATTTAATTATTATATTTTATGATAGGAATGGATACTCCTCCAAGTAGTTGGACAGTATTATGTGATAATGGAAAAATCATATTCTTAGTAGCCAAAGATAGTCAGTTATTTATGATTGATTCCAAAGAAAGGAAATGGATTGAATTAGTAAGAAATTTATTTCAGAAATTATTTTTTTTTAATTTACTATTACATGTATAATTTTACTTCTGAATAATATATTTATTGCCAATTTGATTAAAATAAAATTTTATATTTTTTATTGATAATTAACTGATTTCTTGTATCTGATATAATGTTAAATATAAAAAATAATTTTATGATTTATTATTTTTTTTTAGTTGATAATTATTTCATTATACAATGAATTAATTCAATGAATTTTTCTTTTATTTTATCTTGTAATTATTAACAGTTATTTTCTCTATATTATTAACATGTACTAATATTATAAAGAGGTAATGTTTGTAAGTTTGGATGTAGGGGGTAATCTCCAAAACTACTCATCCGATTTCAAAAATTTTTTTACCAATATTTAGAATGGAACTTCAGGGTGGACATAGGCTGTACATTATTCTGTTAAACATTCATATAAATTAAAAGATATCATCTAGGGTTAAGGCTTTTATGTCCAATAGATGGTGCTACAAGTACGATGACCTAAGTTTGCTTTTCTGTGAGGCATTATGCTTTTCTACGAGGATGAACTAAAGCAGATAATCTTCTATCTATCTATATAAATAAAAATGTAATGTTCGTTTGTTCTTATTGATTCCTTTGAAATTTTGACACAACGCTGCACTCGAATACGCATGTGTTTTTATATAATATACATGTTGAAATTTCGCCCACTGTGGGAGAGAGACAGGATTAAGGCTTACTGTAAAGAACTTTGCTTCTATTATACTATTTTAGATGAGGTTTTTTGCGTTTTTGATTGTGTTTTAATAGGGTACATCAAGAGAATGTACACTAAGAAGGGATTTTTCGAAAAAATTTCCCCCTCCACGGGGAAGTGTTATACATTTATAATAGATACATTTTGAGCTACAACAACGCATGGCAGGGTCTGCTAGTCTAAAATAAATGTAAATTTCTGAATAATATAAATTTGGTTCAAATGAGAAAACAATATTTAATGTTTACTATAAAATATTAAATTCAAATTTGATTTGTATCACTTTTATAACCACTTAAAAGGGGATTTTTGGATGAATAAACCAAGATGTTTGTCCTTTGAATCCAATGCTCACCTGAGTTCAAGAATTACTCAGAAGACAATTAATTCTCAGATATTTTATTTAAATGCATTTCGTATCAGAATTCTTGCTGATCTGTCTTCAGTCTATAAACAATAAAATTGTTTTGTAATTTTACAGTTAAAATTTTTAATAAAGATATAAAATATTAAAATAAATCACTTACAAAGGTACAATTTGTGACAGAGCTTACACCGAGATTAAGGACTCTTCAAAATCAATCACAGTAACAATGAAGATTCCAAAAAAACCTGTTTTAACTAGTTATAAAAGTGACTGATTCTATATCCAGCAAATATTGCTAATTTTAGTTTCATATTATGATTCCTATGTTAGCTTTATTAAAATATTTTATAAAATCGATAAATAGATCTGTACAAACATCACTAAACCCGATATATAATATAGCTAAACACCGTATGCCGAAAATCTATCGGGCTAGTTTAAGGCTAATTACTAAATGAATTACGTAACCAGTTTAGCTCTAGAGGTAAGGTTAGGCACCATCTCTTATTAACATTAATAATTATAAGTAAATTAATTAATTTAAATAATTTAAAACCGCTGGGAGAAAATCGGCCCGGAGCGGGACTCGAACCCACAACTTCTGCTTACTGTTCAGATGCATTGCCAGTTACGCTATCTGGACCTCCAGTCCAATCTCCTCTTCCAGTGCATATAAGCTAACTATATAACCATCGACGGTTATTACAACACTGGCTGGGGACACATCCAGTGCCCACGTCCTATAATAACTGGCGTTGTAATAACCGTCGATGGTTATATCACTCTATGTAGAAAATATTGAATTTTTAATATGAAATTTTATTTTAATAAACACTCAAAATATTATAATTCTCTTTATATATATTTATTATAAACTCAAGCTTATGAAAGTAATATAAACTATCACTTTGTGATTTTTGTTTATGAATTATCTTGTTTGTATCCAAGAATCTTGGAAGATTAAATAGAAAGAAAATGAATGTTTAAAAAATATATGAGTGTGTTACTCTGAAATTAATGCTTCAAATTTTTTCTGGAAAACTATTTTATCTAAGGAAATAAATCATCTACATCATTTTTCAGATTTATATTGACTTTATATTTTTTACAGTCTCTTCATATTTTTCCAGTGTTCAACATGACTTTATCTCTCTTTCTCCTGACAGTTATTTTTATTTCATAATTGTTGAAGAAACCATTAAGCTGCCTTTAAAGTTTGCCCTTCACCACATCAAAGCAATTGAAATCTAACTGAAATGAGGATGTAGCAAGACAGCCCATCCAAAGTTTGTAATACATTATGTATTGGCTTGTGTTTCAAACCCTTTCCTTCTACCCTAACATGCTTAACTCAATACCCAATAATGATATTGATTGTGTTGTGTCTAGAAAAGTTCTGTGAACTGCAATAAATTTCAACTGGCATAATGTTCTTACTTCAGGAATCTAATTACAAAACACTGTTTTATACTCATTTGATGTCATTTCCGTTTTAATAATTGACTTGATCTGTGTACCATAGACAAATTGAAGGCCAAAACTGACTCTGAAATTAAAAAACATCACTGCAGAAACATTGCAAAATGTGTTTTGTAATCTTGCCAAATGGGCAAACATTTGTTATAAGAATCTTATAATAAAATATCATTGCCTGCATTTCCCATCTTGTTATTTTCATAATGTTGTACATTGATTGCATTTTATTTGACATACACTGTACAGTGGAACTCACTTAATGAGTGACTTTTTGCATAATGAGTGCCAAGGAGGGGGAGTCCCTGATTGTGCACATGCTCCATCAGTCTGTGTTTAGCACTCATTCCACTAGCATCTTACTGTCGCTTGTGATCACACATTTTTNCTCAAGCTTATGAAAGTAATATAAACTATCACTTTGTGATTTTTGTTTATGAATTATCTTGTTTGTATCCAAGAATCTTGGAAGATTAAATAGAAAGAAAATGAATGTTTAAAAAATATATGAGTGTGTTACTCTGAAATTAATGCTTCAAATTTTTTCTGGAAAACTATTTTATCTAAGGAAATAAATCATCTACATCATTTTTCAGATTTATATTGACTTTATATTTTTTACAGTCTCTTCATATTTTTCCAGTGTTCAACATGACTTTATCTCTCTTTCTCCTGACAGTTATTTTTATTTCATAATTGTTGAAGAAACCATTAAGCTGCCTTTAAAGTTTGCCCTTCACCACATCAAAGCAATTGAAATCTAACTGAAATGAGGATGTAGCAAGACAGCCCATCCAAAGTTTGTAATACATTATGTATTGGCTTGTGTTTCAAACCCTTTCCTTCTACCCTAACATGCTTAACTCAATACCCAATAATGATATTGATTGTGTTGTGTCTAGAAAAGTTCTGTGAACTGCAATAAATTTCAACTGGCATAATGTTCTTACTTCAGGAATCTAATTACAAAACACTGTTTTATACTCATTTGATGTCATTTCCGTTTTAATAATTGACTTGATCTGTGTACCATAGACAAATTGAAGGCCAAAACTGACTCTGAAATTAAAAAACATCACTGCAGAAACATTGCAAAATGTGTTTTGTAATCTTGCCAAATGGGCAAACATTTGTTATAAGAATCTTATAATAAAATATCATTGCCTGCATTTCCCATCTTGTTATTTTCATAATGTTGTACATTGATTGCATTTTATTTGACATACACTGTACAGTGGAACTCACTTAATGAGTGACTTTTTGCATAATGAGTGCCAAGGAGGGGGAGTCCCTGATTGTGCACATGCTCCATCAGTCTGTGTTTAGCACTCATTCCACTAGCATCTTACTGTCGCTTGTGATCACACATTTTTCCAAATTTGTGTTCACACATATTATGTATAAACATCAACAATCATAGCCTGTTATATAATAAACACACCAAACAATATGCCAAATTCTTGGCCTACGTAGGCTATAATTAAATATTAGAAACTAATTAATTTGACTAGATGTATGCAGTTATGCTGCCATCTCATATTAAATTTAATGACCAATTCCAAATTAAATTTTAGAAATGTCTAAATTAAAAATTAATTGTTTATAATTATTAAATTTAATACAAGATGGCAGTGTAACTAGTCAAATTAATTAATTTGTAATATTTAATTATAGCCTTTACATAGCCCAAGAATTTGGAATATCGTTTGGTGTGTTTATCAGACATATTACGAGGGCTATTTTTTAAATAAGGTCTGTTTGTGAGTGAGAATGACATGCGATTGCAGCAGTGTGCATGAGCATCTGCTTTCAGCATGCTTTGCATGTGTTTAGATGCCATTTGCAGCTGTATCGTCTGTCTGTGTGCTGAGTATAGAAGTTTATATGTTTAAGAAAATTGAGTTGCCCGCTGACTGTAAGATATGATCTGTTATTCAAATTCAGCACGAAAGATCATGGTAACTGTCTTTTGGGACAGGAAAGGGACTTTGTTAGTGGATTTTATGCCAAGAGGCACAACAATCAGTTCTGATGCTTATTGTGTGACCTTGAGAAAACTCTGCCATGCCATACAAGACAAGCGGTGTTGCCTAATGTCTTCTGGCAGCAGGCAGCAGATTTCTTTGAAGTCAGAATTAAAAAATTTTTCAGAGGTATGACAAATGTTTTAACAAAAATGGAAATTATGTACAAAAGTAGATAAAAGTATGTAGAATATGGCAAAAAATATATTTTAATGATATTTACAATATTTTTCTTCTTATCAAAAAAAGGACCTTATTTAAAAAATACCCTTCATATCTGTGTTTTTTTTTTCTGCAAATCGAATTTGCATTTCAGGTAGATTCATTCCATGCTAGAAGAAAAGGTGATGAAGATTCACTCTCCTTAATAAAGTATATTGTATAATTTCCTTTAAATAAATGTTATACATAAAGTATTTGAGTATTTTTTTTAGCATGGAATGCATTATCGTATTTTACATTAATTTATACGGAAAAAATTGTTTCGCTTAATGAGTGTTTTAATGAGTGTTTTGCATTATGAGTAAGATTCTGGAATGAATTATGCTCGTTAAGTGAGATTTCACTGTATATTTAATATTAAAATATTTTGTGGTTTAAACTTGCTTACTTTTTTTACATCCAGAAAATCATATTTTATTTCACTGTGGAATAATGTTCAGAATTCATTTACATAACAAAAATTAGTTATATATATTATATATTATAGTTTACAAAAAACTATATATTGTGATTTTTTTTATATTTAATTAAAAAAAGTATAAAGTTTTAAAACAAAAAATGTTTTTTGAATGTTTCATTATTGTTTGTTTGTTTGTTTGAATAAATTTCAACAGAAAAAATTTGAGAAATATCAAAATTAAAATTTATTAAAGATTACACTATCAACTTTAGAAAACATTGAATAATGAATTTAAAAAAATTAAGGTTTGCTTCCTACAGGTTAATTTAAAATTCAAAAGTAATGAAAATGTTTGAATATTTATTTACTTATTTATTTTCAGTTTCCAAAATTTTCAAGTCAATTAAATGCAATTATAGAAATGGCTGTTTCAAGTAATAGCAAAAATATATGTCTTTTTACAGACACGGGTAATTTATGGATTGGAACAAGTGATTTAAAGGTAATTAATTTTAATAATGAAAATATTTGTTTTAAATGTTCTCATTAAAAAGAGAGAGAACATTTATTCTGCTCTTTTTAATAGAATGAATTTTTTTACTTTTTTTAGGAAAAATATTGTGAATTTGATACAGAAAGTAGAACAAGACCTCAGCAATTACTCTGGTAAATATTCATCTTTTTATGCTCAAAATAATAATGCATATCACAACAGATTACAAACTCATAGCTTACATAGCTTATATAGATTATTTATTTTAACTATCAAAGAAATATAATAAATTAAGTGCTTGAATAAAAACATATATTATTATACATTTAAGTACAATATTACAAATATACAATAAAGACAATATTAGAAAACTTTATATAGATGGTGTCCATAAAGTCTGTGTGCAATTTAAAAAATTTATAACTTTATTAGTATGTGTGAGAATTTACAAATTTCTCACACAGATCTATTAATAAAAAAAACAAATGCACACAACTTATAATAATTAAAACACAAATGTAAATTCAATCTTAAACCTAAAAGTGGGAGAAGTATCCAAAAGAAAAAGAAAAAATTACAAGAAAACTAGGCTATATCTTACCTAAAAAGTGAAAAATTCAGATCATTCTCTTATCCACAAATTGGATAGTCTCCCATTATTAAATGAATATTTAATAATTAATTTAGAAGGTTGTAGAAGAAGAAAACCATCTTGAAGGAGGACTCAAACATGCAACTCCTGCTTGCCATGAAGATGCGTTGCCAGTAACACTACCCAGACTTCTGTCTGATCTTCACTTTCAGAACTATTAATTCATAACCAGGTGGTACCAACTGGGAATGACTTTAGTGCCCATTGCCTGTAAATCCACCACCAAACCATGACACTCAGCTGGTATTGCTTTACCTTGGCATGGTGTATATATATACAAATATAAACATCTGTTAACCAAATTTTTAGATTAATGCTAAATGATTGCCAGATTACATTAGTAGCATTATGATAGCCCAATGTAATCTAGCAATCATTTGTCATAAAAATAATTTTTTGAATGTCAAAATATGGTTTTCTCACAAATTATAGTAATAATATATGAAATAATTTTAAGATCATATTTATTTAAAAACTTTTTTTTAATTGCAGGTGTGGAAATAGAGCTATTGTTGGTTATTGGCAAAATATTTTGCTTATTGTTGGGCCAGAAAAAGATTTTATTAAATATCCTTTTATGGAAATTAAACTTATATGCAAGGTGTGTCCAAAGTTGAAGGGAGACAAAAATTCAATTGCTATAGATTTCAAATGAAATGTTATTACAAAATTATCACTTTTATGGAACATACAAGTTAGTTACTTTCTTTATAAATTCAATTAGTTGCATTTAACCCCCTTATATGCTAATTTCTCAAAGTTTTCTTGCAGCTTTGTCCATTACAGCATTTCTGGATTCCTTTGCCACCTTATTGCTGATATTTTACCAAATTTGTTGAAATACTCTCAAATTTTTTGGTTGCAACTTTTGTTTTTCATATTCATATTCTCTTTTGTAGAGTGCCCAAAATATTTCGATGCCCCTTGTTTGCAGGATATTTGGAGCATTTTTCAGCTTCTGTACAAAATCAATGTTGTTTTTTGTTTTTTTTTATTATTTTTTTTATTTTTTATTTTTAAGGTATCAGTGACTTTTTTTGCATAATGGGCTGTTGCATGTCTGGCTAGAAGTAAACATTATTTCTCTTGTAATGTTGATCTATGAAGGGTATAAGTCTTGAATGCATTCTTTTAAGTAAATATCACTTGTAATAGTGCCTTCAGAAATATAGGGTTTAGATACAAAACAGTCCATTGCTTGCCAGATGAGGTACTGTTTGTAGAATTTAGCTTGATATTTTACCTTTTTATCATAGGCAAATTCTTTTGTGTCTTCTGCATGATAATACTTCTTGCTTGGTACATCTGAAGAGTTGAAGGGAACATACGTTTCATCAATAATGAGGATTTTCTTCAAAAATTTTTTATACAACATCATGACCTTGCTTTGATTTCTTGACTGTCTACAATAACTGATTCACTATAAAGTATAAAAATATGTCACATTTTAAAATGAACTACAGTGGTACCTCGGTATACGTCTGCTTTAAAATACGTCCAATTCGGAATACGTCCTGTTTGGACGAAACGAATTTTGCTCGGTATACGACTTTTGTTTGATATAAGACTTAATTCAATTATACGCGCAATCTATGAACGAGTAACACTATCGGTGTACTAGACCAGACTAGACATTTGTGGTCCACTGTTTATAACTTTGTTAAATTTCTTCTGATTTTAATTTGTAAGTAAAATTTTATTATTTTTATTAATTAATTAATCATGAATTGCAAAAAGGCAAATGAAAAGCAACAGAAAACTAAAAAACAAAAATGACTAGAATCACAATGGAACTGAAAAAAGAGATTGCTGAGAAATATAAAGGTGGCACGCGTGTTCGAGATTTTATCTGTTGCATACAGTATTCCGAGAACGACGATATTGACAATCATGAAAAGTAAAGACATTATTAAATCTGCTAATGTTGCGAAAGGGGTTAAATCAATTTCTAAATAGTGATCAAAGACATTAGATCATGTTGAGAAAATGCTTTTGCTTTGGATAACTGAAAAACAGTGTGCTGGCGACATCGTATCGGAAGCAATTATTTTCAAGAAAGCTAAAAAGATACACGCTGATCTCACGAAAAATCAAGCAGGAACTAGCCAGGAAAGCGAGGTGTTTAAAGCCAGCCATTTTTTTTCATGAGAACGGATTAATCATTTTTACATTACTTCTTATGGGAAAGATTGGTTCGGTATACATCCTATTCGGTATAAGTCCAAACATCAGGAATGGATTAAGATCGTATACCAAGGTTCCACTGTATAGCTTATATTTTAAAATTTGGCATATATATGTTTGTATAGTTAATAACTATTCTGTTTTGAAATTATGTTAATTTTCAACAAAAAGGTGTAATTAGAATTGTTTGTTTGTAACAGTTTGTAAAATCCTACAAAGAACTGATTTTAGAACTATTTTTTCTTTTATTAGTGTATCTGGAGTAATATAGTATAATTTCAAATACAGGATTAACAGACTTTAAAATTTGGAGTCTGCATTTTCCTTTTACTGATCTATTTTAAAATTTTAAATTTATAAGGATATAAAACTTATTCACAGACATGTTTTCTAAATGAATAGGCAATGTCTTTAAAAAGTAAACTTTGTTTATGAAAATTGATACTTTTACAATTATTTAAGATAAAAGTATTCATTAAATAACTGTTTTTAGATTAATTTTTCTTCCTTTGAAATTTTGAAAGAAAAAAATTATAATATAAATATATCTTGAATTTTTTTTTGCATGACTTGTTTATGCATATATATTAAATATATGTTTTATCTTATTATATATATATATATATATATAGACAATAATATATAATATANAGAGAAAGTTACATATCAAAATGTTTTAAGTGCATTAGTACTTTTTCATTAACTCTCATCATGTATTTTAATGACTTTAGCTTTGATTGACCTAAATCTATCCATACAAAAATTCTCTTGATTGCTAGATACATAATTTATTTTATTAAATGAATTATAACACAATTTTTGTTTTGTTTATGGCTATATATGTCAAAATAATACAAAACTTGAATGTATATTATTGAGAAATTACATATTAAGTACAAATTATAATATAAATTATTATTGATGATGATAAATAAAGAGAAAATATAAATTTAACATTTTAATAAATGTTTATTCTAAATATTTAATAATATAATTTAAGTTATATTAAGTATAATGAAACAGTTTAAATTATTTTCTTTTATTATAAATAGTATTTTTTGCACATAATTTTTATATTTTTCACTTACATTTAAATGTGTCAAATGTAATTAGGTCAGATAATTGGTAGATACATGTTTTACTACAGTTTAGAGGCAAGTGTTCAATGTGTGATGATTAATGTTTTGTACATGCATTCAGTAGGAGTTGCTTCTTTATTAATTAAATTTCCCTAATTAAAGCAACAAATTACTCTTTTAAGATATTTGAAGATTATTAATTCAATATTAATACTAATTTAATATTAAGCAAATGGTGAAACTACTGCTATGCTTCCTTTGTGTAAAGGGTGGTAAAGTGTAATCTTTGCTGTGTTTTTGTTCAAAAAATTATAGTAATTAATTAGATTTAATATAAGAGAATGTAGAAGTTTCTGCCAAAAGAAACCTGTATATACTTTTGTTTCTGGTGTTAAAAATTCAATGACTAATTAATTTTCTGCTCTATGAATGCATTTTTAACTTTAATGAAGTTTCAGTGGAATGGATGATAAAAATAAACAAAATATTACTTTCAAATATTTTTGCCTCTCTTCAAGGTCATTCAAACAAACAAAAAAAAAAAGTGTAAAAGTAAGAAAGTTAGTTTAATTGAATTTCATTCAAGGACAAGTAAGAAAAACGAAAAGTTAATTTCTTTGCTTTAGTTTCTCTAAAGAAAATAATAAAGTTAAAATATTTGTATAGCCCCACTATATACAGTATATACAAATAAATATACTGTCTATAACTTTTTACAGCTTGCAACTGTGCTGTTTGTTCGGGTGCTTACAATTATTGTTTCTATTATTGTCTATTGTTTCTGTTCTTTGGGCATATTAATTGTTTTGTTGGGAATAGTGATCTAATGCCATAAAGCATTATTTAATGAGTGTAGATGTAAATAAATTTGTGATATCTAGGTTACTTTCAAAAACATATTTGTCTATATTTTTAGATCATTATTCCTTGTTGTGTTTTATTATTATTATTTTGATATTTTAAATCTAAATATATAAAATTACTTGTCCTGACTGAGCAACTGACTGAGTGATTGATTCATCAAAACCCAGAGCAAACTGCTGAACCTAGAGGTGAAATTTTGTACACAGTTAGGGTACATCATGAAAACGCACACTAAGAAGTGATTTTTCGAAATTCTTTTGCGGGGGAGAGGGAAAGGATTAAGGCTTAACCTGAAGAACAGCTTCTACTGTACTATTTTAGATGTGATTTTTTGTTTTCAACTACATTTAGTTTTCATTGAGTTCTTAGGTGTATTAAATTGATAACATTTCATACATTGTTATAAATATTTTTATATATTTTGATTTTTTAATCAAATGTTTGAACTATTTTAAATTTGAATTTGTTATTGCATATTGGTTCGATTATAGAATGATTGTAAATGTTCCAGAAAATTGATCAAATTGAAAATAGTTTGATTCTCAGCAATTCTCATCATTCTCAGCGGTAGGTGTTATATAATAATTACAATGGTTGTTGAAATACTAAATATAAATGGGGTTTGCTTTCAAAGTTGTGGGTAACAGCTAGTAACATCATATTTAACAAGTTGTAAAGTTGAAATTTAGACATTTTGAGAAAAAAACTTTATTGAAAATTACAGTAGAGCATCGATTATCTGACCCCCGATCAACTGTCACATCGGTTAACTGACTGTGTTCTAGTCGGCAAATTCAAATGTCCGCTAGTGATGTGGCGCTACAATATTTGGCTATGTCTTGGCTACTTTAATAGTATTTTTACATGTTTTAGTTGGCAACACTGGTTCGACCATGAAAGGGAGCCAGTATTTAAACGAGGCTTAATTTTCTAATTTTTAACGATACAATAGCGACGATTATTATTTTAAAAAATTTTNTACTTTAATAGTATTTTTACATGTTTTAGTTGGCAACACTGGTTCGACCATGAAAGGGAGCCAGTATTTAAACGAGGCTTAATTTTCTAATTTTTAACGATACAATAGCGACGATTATTATTTTTAAAAAATTTTTGTTAGTCTTAATGTCGATGAAAATTCAACGCAAAGTAGATTAATAGCAATATACTAATTACATGGGATATACTAATATACTGTACTATACTAATAATGTATTTTTTAATATTTTTCGGTTATCCGTTTTTTCAGTTATCTGACCAACCCCAGTCCCCAATTGAGTCAGATAATCGATGCTCTACTGTAATTCAATAACAATTATAGTTCAACCTAGTAGATAATTACCATCAATATCAATCATATCTTGTCACTTTTGCTGNGACCAACCCCAGTCCCCAATTGAGTCAGATAATCGATGCTCTACTGTAATTCAATAACAATTATAGTTCAACCTAGTAGATAATTACCATCAATATCAATCATATCTTGTCACTTTTGCTGCAAACTTTCAATCCTGTGAACAAAGAATGACTGAGGTTTTTCTATGAAGAAAGTCTCAAGTGTCAGGTATTGTTATTGAACTGTATATTGCAATATGATTCTGCAGGATGTGAAATAGATTGTAATTAGTTGTGCTAAGTCTGGGTTATAAAGGTAGATGAGGCAAAACCTCCATCTCTGGACTGGTCAGCTTCTCTAAGGTTATCTTTTCTCTGTGCTGGCATGCTGTCATGGTGGTATTAGACTTTGTCACTTTTTGGATGAAGTCCTTTTATCTTGATGTTCAAACGATCCAGTTGTTCATAGTAGAGTGCTGTCATGACAGTGATGTTAGTTGGAAGCAACTGCATGATGATGATGTCAAAATAATTCTGATCATTGTCTTCTGCACTATCATCTTTTTGACATTTGCAACAGCAATATCAAAAGCGCTCAGCAACTAAATAAAGATAAACAAAACACCTTTTTTGCCAAGAAAAAAGGTGTTTTGAAACCTTTTTTTGTTGTCAAGGAGATACAAGATATATCTTTAATGGAGGATGAGGTAGCGACCGTCTTAGATTATGAAAGCATGTATCCTTCAGTAATGATTGAGTCTTGTGTGGATGCGTTATTGGATTTCTTGTACATAAAGAACTCCCAGTTGCTTCTTTACACGCAAGAGCTAGAAGAACTGGCTAACCTGGTGTGCTGTGAGTCGTGCTTCATCTTTTGTGGACAGATCTACAGACNTTTTTTTTTCTTAAATATATTTTATTTAAAGTTACAAAGTACTATAATCATCATATAAAATTATACAGTCTTTTAGTAAAGTTGTTTTTCCTTATCTATCCTAATTATATCTTTGATTCGCCGGTGGTTCTTGTGCCTGAAATTGATGGAATAAGAATAATTGGAAATACATCTCATGAATTGTTGCAGAAAGTTCCATGTATGTACTATATATTCAAATTTGTCTTTATTATATAAAACTGTTTTTTGAAATTAGCAAGTTTATATCATTTTTTAAAAACAAGCACTTTCTAAAAGATATAAGCATCTACAAGAGTTGATCACTTAATTCATGGAATAATGCTAGATTTTTCCATATTGTCATTTTTATCTTCTGAAGATTTGTTATTCTAGAAGTGTTCTTGAAAAAGGTGATATCTCTGTCATTTCCATATGCTTTCTGCAATCTGTTTTTGATAGATATTGAAGAGGAAGCATTATGACTTACATGTCTCATCATCAGATGTAAAGCACTTGCCTTTCAGAGCTTTCTTAGTCATGGAAATTGAAAGAAATTACATGGACTAAGCCTGATGGATATGAAACGTAGTAGAATCTCAACTTCAATTGTAACACTTACTGGCTGTACAATATTGCAATATGGGGTATAGTATTGTCATGATAGAGAAATCATTTCACATCAGCAAGTTTGGATGTTTTTCACAAATGGTACAACAAGATTTTATTTCAAGAATATCAGTGTATACTTACTTATTCATAGTTGTTTCTTGTTTGTTTGTAAACAAATAAAACAAGAACCATGTTGATAGACAGTTTAAAACAATTGTCAATGACAAAGTATTAATAAAAGATATAAAAGACAGCTATTCTGGAAGCTGGTCATCAGATTTTAGAGAGGGAACCAAGATATTTTTCAGAAATGTATGAAGGAAAAATATATAAGAACTATTCCAAAAATTAAATGGTCAGCACTTTTATGTTCAAATTGAATGTGTGTGTAATATTACTGAAATTAACCATTACTGGATTGTTTTCAAAACATTTTATTTAAATATTTGTCTGGTCAAGAAAGAGAGTGCATATGCAAACAAAAAAATAATTAACAAAAAAGTAATAGATGCATTCTGTGATTGAACATTACTATAGAAAGTGTTTTAATGTGATCATCATAATGGAAGCAGTTTTGGAAAAAGCATTTTAAATATATGTGAAATGTCAAATGATTATTTGTTCTTTACAGATGCTGTAATGGAAATATTTAGAATTGGTTCTGTCTCTCCAGGAGCTCTTCTTCATGAAGCTTTTAAAGAATTTCAAGTTTGTTTATAGTATTTTTCCCATTATTTATTAGTAAACTAACAAAATGTTTATTCCATTATAATTATTGTTACATTTAATGATTGAATATTTCCATAAGTATCTTCAGATAAATTCTATTGCTGAATGTAAAATATAATTTTAAATGTGTTGAATTTAAGTTAGAAATGTTTTAAAGCATTTAATAATAAATATAATTTGTTTTAATAAATTTTATAATAGATAAGTGTATTATAGCAAATTAATATATTAAGCTTAATAATTAAATTTCTTTAAGTTAATATTTAACTTGGTGCAAACAAACAATACCTCCAAATTTTAATCAGTACTGTACATTCATGCTTACATAATATATATACACAGTATTCTTATTCTTCAGTATATTAATATTCAACTTGTGCAAAGGGAATGGCAAATGATCCTTATAAATGGACAAATTTTTAAATTATAGGAATGACAGATAAATAAGATTATCTTGCAACATGATAAAAGAAATAATTTACTTTCCACCATTTTGTCTATACTGAAAAGTATTGATTTAGGTCATGCTGTTATCATAATCCTGAAAATGTATATAAGATGGTAAAACAGTATTCTTTTTTAATTATATCTTTTTTTTTCTTAAATATATTTTATTTAAAGTTACAAAGTACTATAATCATCATATAAAATTATACAGTCTTTTAGTAAAGTTGTTTTTCCTTATCTATCCTAATTATATCTTTGATTCGCCGGTGGTTCTTGTGCCTGAAATTGATGGAATAAGAATAATTGGAAATACATCTCATGAATTGTTGCAGAAAGTTCCATGTATGTACTATATATTCAAATTTGTCTTTATTATATAAAACTGTTTTTTGAAATTAGCAAGTTTATATCATTTTTTAAAAACAAGCACTTTCTAAAAGATATAAGCATCTACAAGAGTTGATCACTTAATTCATGGAATAATGCTAGATTTTTCCATATTGTCATTTTTATCTTCTGAAGATTTGTTATTCTAGAAGTGTTCTTGAAAAAGGTGATATCTCTGTCATTTCCATATGCTTTCTGCAATCTGTTTTTGATAGATATTGAAGAGGAAGCATTATGACTTACATGTCTCATCATCAGATGTAAAGCACTTGCCTTTCAGAGCTTTCTTAGTCATGGAAATTGAAAGAAATTACATGGACTAAGCCTGATGGATATGAAACGTAGTAGAATCTCAACTTCAATTGTAACACTTACTGGCTGTACAATATTGCAATATGGGGTATAGTATTGTCATGATAGAGAAATCATTTCACATCAGCAAGTTTGGATGTTTTTCACAAATGGTACAACAAGATTTTATTTCAAGAATATCAGTGTATACTTACTTATTCATAGTTGTTTCTTGTTTGTTTGTAAACAAATAAAACAAGAACCATGTTGATAGACAGTTTAAAACAATTGTCAATGACAAAGTATTAATAAAAGATATAAAAGACAGCTATTCTGGAAGCTGGTCATCAGATTTTAGAGAGGGAACCAAGATATTTTTCAGAAATGTATGAAGGAAAAATATATAAGAACTATTCCAAAAATTAAATGGTCAGCACTTTTATGTTCAAATTGAATGTGTGTGTAATATTACTGAAATTAACCATTACTGGATTGTTTTCAAAACATTTTATTTAAATATTTGTCTGGTCAAGAAAGAGAGTGCATATGCAAACAAAAAAATAATTAACAAAAAAGTAATAGATGCATTCTGTGATTGAACATTACTATAGAAAGTGTTTTAATGTGATCATCATAATGGAAGCAGTTTTGGAAAAAGCATTTTAAATATATGTGAAATGTCAAATGATTATTTGTTCTTTACAGATGCTGTAATGGAAATATTTAGAATTGGTTCTGTCTCTCCAGGAGCTCTTCTTCATGAAGCTTTTAAAGAATTTCAAGTTTGTTTATAGTATTTTTCCCATTATTTATTAGTAAACTAACAAAATGTTTATTCCATTATAATTATTGTTACATTTAATGATTGAATATTTCCATAAGTATCTTCAGATAAATTCTATTGCTGAATGTAAAATATAATTTTAAATGTGTTGAATTTAAGTTAGAAATGTTTTAAAGCATTTAATAATAAATATAATTTGTTTTAATAAATTTTATAATAGATAAGTGTATTATAGCAAATTAATATATTAAGCTTAATAATTAAATTTCTTTAAGTTAATATTTAACTTGGTGCAAACAAACAATACCTCCAAATTTTAATCAGTCTATAATATGGCTATTTAATTATAAAGATATTACATAATTTGGACTAAAGGTAGGTATTTAAGCTATAATCATGCATTAAATTTAATAATTAGAAATTAAATTGATTTGGAACATTCTAGAAGAAAATATTAATCTAAAGTGAGACTCAAACTTGCTTTCTGTGAAGATGAATTTTCATTGGCCATACCTCTGCACAGTAAACAGGAGTTTCAGGTTCAAGTCTTATTCCTGATTGGTGTTTTTTCCATAATATTTTAAATTAATTAATTTACAGTATTATGAAAATTATCACAGTAAAATGAATTTTTTTCTGATTTATGTGATCTAAGCTATCTTATTGATCATTTTGCAAATACTAGGCTATAGCACAAATATTTTGGCAGGTGTGCTATTATATTGAAGTACTATTTTATCCACTAGATAGTCAAATTACTAGACTTCTGACTTTGTTGCTATGTTGTTATCTACTACAAACTTTTGTCATTTTATGTCAAAGGAGAGATGATTCAATAATAAAACAAACTACTTGAAATATATCAAAAAACAGTATTTAACATTTTTCATGTATTTTTATTTACAGATTATGCATTATACAAGATCATTAATACAAAAAGTGCAATTTATGAATTTAATCTTTAAATGTGGAAATGATACAATTTTTAAATAAGATCCATTTTCACACCTAACATTCTTGGAAGTTTATAAATCAATTGTCCATGGCAGGAATTACCAAACTTTTTTCACGTTAGTCCAGATAACTGAAAGAATGACAAGTGTGGGCCACATAACTATTTTGTTCAATATAGTATACTAAATACACAAAAAATAAAGAAACCCAATATATTTATTTACCAATATGCAGACACAATCTCTGCAGCAAGATCATAATCACTTTTCTTAGAAACTTCATTGTAGGTACTGTACTTACTCAAAAAACACTCTGATATCCAATGTTGCATACAGTCACCGAATTTTTCATTTCATTGATTTTCCTAAAAATTATATTACTGTCAAATGCAAAATACAGATTGGACCAATTTTGGCATTTTTACCTACACTTATTTTAATTTTTTTTACGTAGTAAGTTTGTCTACAATCTATGATATTTCCATATAAATAATTATATTTTAGCTCATTTCTGGCACAGTGCAGTGGCGGGGCGGATACAACTAACTGTTTGCCATAGTTTGGTGACCCCTGGTCTAGGACAGTGATTTCCAACTTATTTTTATTGTGGAACCTTTTTCACCTTAGTAAAAAATGTTGGAACCCTGACAATGTTTAATGATTGTAAATAAAACAGCAAATAGAAACACCAAAAACAATTTATTGCAAGAAAAAAATAAAAAAAAGGATTAATAATAGAAAGCATATATTATTATCTAATTCAAACTGGTCATTAATGTGAAGGGTTAAACTTCTTTTCTTTCAATATTTTAAGCAGTGCTATGCCTGGATTTGTATCTTCATTTGTATCTGCCATTTCAGTCTCTTTGTCACTAATATTTGAAGTACTGCTACATTTTTCTTTAAAAATCTTCTCTCGGCCAATATTCCATGATTTTTTAATTTTGGATATACACAATATTAAAAGCACTATAAATTTATACGATTCACACAGTATTTTTATATGAAAAATACTTAAAATATTTCAAAACAATTGCAGTGTGACTCTAATAATCTTTGTTGATATGCCTGCTTGTACGCTCCACTGTTGCACTACAACACACTACAGGTGATGGGGCATTAATTAAAAACAAATTAAACTTTATTAGTGTAAATGTAATGACAATGGTAATAAGTGATTACACATCATAGAAAAGAGACAATTTCCTGTGAAATAGTGGCACAATTTAAAGAAATCTTTAGTTTTTTAAATTTTGCCACTATTTGTTGTCACAAGTTCCTTGTAGAATTTCCTTTTGTCTATATATGTGTAGCATTGTGATTGCACAAGGAAGCATAAAGCATTGTATGTTATCTTGCCCTCATTTGGTCCACAGATCACTCCTTCAACTGTCACTCCAGCTCCATCACATTTATAGGTCCTACAAATGCTCAATGGGTGGCACATCTGGAGACCAGATCAAGCAGACAGATCTAGAGACAACATTTGAGAGCCACATTACTCTGATATATTGCCACACTTCCATGGCAGAGGAGTGGCAATATAACAGAGAAATTTCTGGAAATCCTAGGTGTACACAGTGATCATTATTTTACTGGAAGATGACAGCCCTGCCATGGAAGGCAACATGTGAGGACATAATATTTCTTGAAGATACTCTTTTGATGTCAATGTCTCACACACTACTTCTGGGGGTGACCAATTGTCATTAATTGTTTTCAGACAAAGTTCTATTAAGAGTTGTTTACACTAATTCATTTTATTAAATTATAGTTTAATTCAAATCTGATATTGTACAGTACAAAATGATGTAATGCCAAACTTTTTATAAATTTTGCAAGTGTTATAAATATTTATACAAATTAAAATGTGCTGATTATAATAAAACATTTGCTTTTGTTTACCATACTATTTAAAAGTTTTTAAATAGTAATTTATTAATTTTAAGTTTGTAATTATTTTATTCTGTGTATATTTTGTAGAGATTTTGATAAGCTAGAAATAATTTTAATTATAGAAAATTTTATTTATTATTTATTTTACAAATAAATAGAAGAGTCTCAAAGGACAGTTGATATTCACTTCCCAACGATTAAAAAATATACTTAAAGAAACAAAAACAACAAATTACATAAAATAAAAAATTATATAATGCATTTTTATATTTTAATTTAAAACAAGAAAAATTAAGAAATAAAAAAATCATCAAAATTATTTAAATTTTAAGAAATATGATTAAAATAAAGGACCTTTGAGATACACTCAAATAAAAACATGGAATGAACATACAAGATGATGATTGTAAGTTTTTTTTTTGGTAGAATACATAAAAAAGCCAATCATGATAATAAAGCCATTAAAAAATTTAAATGAAATAATAAAATAAATAATAATAAATAATAAATAAAATTTAAATAAAAATAAAGTAAGTGATCAAAATATTTGATACACTCAAAAGACCAAGGAAAACATAACCTAATCCTAGCAATACTGATATTTTGAGTATATGGTAAGTGTAAGTTGCATAATTTATTAAAAATTAAATAAATTTTATCAAGAACTCTAGCAATCTTATCCAAAAAAGTGCAGTCTTAGACCAAATGGGCAGAGCCATAAACAAAACTTTTTGAATTATGTTATTTTTGCCATAATTTATTTTACTTCTGATTATGACATTATTACTGTAAATTGAAATCATTCTGTTTAGTCATCTTTATATATAAATTTTATTTTAAATTTGTGTCATAATATTCAGCTTTACTCTGAATAAAAAATTCAAAATTAAAGTTTTTGTTTACTAAAAAAATTTAATAAAAATGTACATTTTTAATATAGAAAAGAAGCCATAAAGCTGATGAATATTTAAGAATGATTCGTGAAAAAGGTCAATTAGAATTAGCTGTAAAACAGTGCATAGAAGCTGCTGGTCATGAATCTACTGTCATGAAACAAAAACAACTGTTAAGGGTAATATTCAAATTATATGTCACATATTATAGAAATTCAAAATTTTAGGAATTTTACAAAATTTAAATTGTAATATCTTAGTTCTATTATTATTACTTAAGTTATTAAATGATCTTTAAGATAAAATGTGTATGTAATTTTTAAAATAATCAATGTGTAGGAAAAAGTATATTAAACACTTTAGAAATATTCTTTTGGTGTAAGAAACATATGAAATAAAAAATAATAATCTATACCTTATTGTTTACAATCCAAATCCAAATTTTTGATTTTATATTTTGAAGTTTTGCATTTAAATTTTATAAAAACTAGAAAATACATATTGTAATATAGCCAGCATCATATATAGAGTAATTATTGGTAAAAATATAGTGTAAATTTATAGATGGGAATATTCCCTGTTTCTTAGAGAAATATATCAAGTAAACTGTTTGTATACTTATATGTATTTAATTATAGAGTAGCATAGTCATTCTTATGATATGTTATTTCTTCATTATAATAACTTCTTTGTTTCACTTCTTTTAAATTTCATCTTTGTTTTGTAATTTTTTTGTTCTGATACTCTTTGACATTTGCTAATAACTTTTATTTATTTTATGTATTAATGAATCAATGAGAAATGAATGAATAAATAAAAAGTTATATATATATATNTATACGATTCACACAGTATTTTTATATGAAAAATACTTAAAATATTTCAAAACAATTGCAGTGTGACTCTAATAATCTTTGTTGATATGCCTGCTTGTACGCTCCACTGTTGCACTACAACACACTACAGGTGATGGGGCATTAATTAAAAACAAATTAAACTTTATTAGTGTAAATGTAATGACAATGGTAATAAGTGATTACACATCATAGAAAAGAGACAATTTCCTGTGAAATAGTGGCACAATTTAAAGAAATCTTTAGTTTTTTAAATTTTGCCACTATTTGTTGTCACAAGTTCCTTGTAGAATTTCCTTTTGTCTATATATGTGTAGCATTGTGATTGCACAAGGAAGCATAAAGCATTGTATGTTATCTTGCCCTCATTTGGTCCACAGATCACTCCTTCAACTGTCACTCCAGCTCCATCACATTTATAGGTCCTACAAATGCTCAATGGGTGGCACATCTGGAGACCAGATCAAGCAGACAGATCTAGAGACAACATTTGAGAGCCACATTACTCTGATATATTGCCACACTTCCATGGCAGAGGAGTGGCAATATAACAGAGAAATTTCTGGAAATCCTAGGTGTACACAGTGATCATTATTTTACTGGAAGATGACAGCCCTGCCATGGAAGGCAACATGTGAGGACATAATATTTCTTGAAGATACTCTTTTGATGTCAATGTCTCACACACTACTTCTGGGGGTGACCAATTGTCATTAATTGTTTTCAGACAAAGTTCTATTAAGAGTTGTTTACACTAATTCATTTTATTAAATTATAGTTTAATTCAAATCTGATATTGTACAGTACAAAATGATGTAATGCCAAACTTTTTATAAATTTTGCAAGTGTTATAAATATTTATACAAATTAAAATGTGCTGATTATAATAAAACATTTGCTTTTGTTTACCATACTATTTAAAAGTTTTTAAATAGTAATTTATTAATTTTAAGTTTGTAATTATTTTATTCTGTGTATATTTTGTAGAGATTTTGATAAGCTAGAAATAATTTTAATTATAGAAAATTTTATTTATTATTTATTTTACAAATAAATAGAAGAGTCTCAAAGGACAGTTGATATTCACTTCCCAACGATTAAAAAATATACTTAAAGAAACAAAAACAACAAATTACATAAAATAAAAAATTATATAATGCATTTTTATATTTTAATTTAAAACAAGAAAAATTAAGAAATAAAAAAATCATCAAAATTATTTAAATTTTAAGAAATATGATTAAAATAAAGGACCTTTGAGATACACTCAAATAAAAACATGGAATGAACATACAAGATGATGATTGTAAGTTTTTTTTTTGGTAGAATACATAAAAAAGCCAATCATGATAATAAAGCCATTAAAAAATTTAAATGAAATAATAAAATAAATAATAATAAATAATAAATAAAATTTAAATAAAAATAAAGTAAGTGATCAAAATATTTGATACACTCAAAAGACCAAGGAAAACATAACCTAATCCTAGCAATACTGATATTTTGAGTATATGGTAAGTGTAAGTTGCATAATTTATTAAAAATTAAATAAATTTTATCAAGAACTCTAGCAATCTTATCCAAAAAAGTGCAGCCTTAGACCAAATGGGCAGAGCCATAAACAAAACTTTTTGAATTATGTTATTTTTGCCATAATTTATTTTACTTCTGATTATGACATTATTACTGTAAATTGAAATCATTCTGTTTAGTCATCTTTATATATAAATTTTATTTTAAATTTGTGTCATAATATTCAGCTTTACTCTGAATAAAAAATTCAAAATTAAAGTTTTTGTTTACTAAAAAAATTTAATAAAAATGTACATTTTTAATATAGAAAAGAAGCCATAAAGCTGATGAATATTTAAGAATGATTCGTGAAAAAGGTCAATTAGAATTAGCTGTAAAACAGTGCATAGAAGCTGCTGGTCATGAATCTACTGTCATGAAACAAAAACAACTGTTAAGGGTAATATTCAAATTATATGTCACATATTATAGAAATTCAAAATTTTAGGAATTTTACAAAATTTAAATTGTAATATCTTAGTTCTATTATTATTACTTAAGTTATTAAATGATCTTTAAGATAAAATGTGTATGTAATTTTTAAAATAATCAATGTGTAGGAAAAAGTATATTAAACACTTTAGAAATATTCTTTTGGTGTAAGAAACATATGAAATAAAAAATAATAATCTATACCTTATTGTTTACAATCCAAATCCAAATTTTTGATTTTATATTTTGAAGTTTTGCATTTAAATTTTATAAAAACTAGAAAATACATATTGTAATATAGCCAGCATCATATATAGAGTAATTATTGGTAAAAATATAGTGTAAATTTATAGATGGGAATATTCCCTGTTTCTTAGAGAAATATATCAAGTAAACTGTTTGTATACTTATATGTATTTAATTATAGAGTAGCATAGTCATTCTTATGATATGTTATTTCTTCATTATAATAACTTCTTTGTTTCACTTCTTTTAAATTTCATCTTTGTTTTGTAATTTTTTTGTTCTGATACTCTTTGACATTTGCTAATAACTTTTATTTATTTTATGTATTAATGAATCAATGAGAAATGAATGAATAAATAAAAAGTTATATATATATATTGTATGTAACTTTTTATTCATTTATTTTTATATATATTTTTAATATATTTCTAATAAATATTATTATAAAGTCTTAGGATAATCATTTTGGAATGTTCAGTTTATTAAGTATTCAGAATGAGAACAAATTCCACAAGCCTATATTAAATATAAGTAAAACAGTTAATTCTGGTGAAAATATTAATTTTAAATACATTATTTTTAGTTTTTCTATTACATTTATTGTTTTATAAGTATATTAAAAAGCATACATAATAGAGTAATTTTAATTGATAATACATTAGATTTAAATTTATTTTATGAATGATTTTTAATATTTGAAATAATTTTTTAACATACCAATAAATACATTTAAAATTACAGGCTGCCTCATTTGGAAAAAGTTTTATTCCAAATATGAATCCTGAGGAATTTGTACAAATGTGTCGCACATTAAGGGTATTAAATGCTATAAGAAGTCATGAAATTGGACTTCCTCTTACATATACACAGTATCCTTATTATCTGACAATGATGCAATTATAAATTTTATATCTAATATATTTCCTTAATTACCTTTTAGATACAAATTTCTAACTATTCCAGTATTTTTAGATCGATTGGTATTAAGACGGCACTACTATTTAGCTATTAAAATTTGTCGTTATTTGAAAATTCCAGATAATGAAGGTTCTAATCGTATTCTTGCTCAGTGGGCATGTTATAAGGTAGAAAGTATTTGCTTTTTTTTTATAATTTAAGTCTATTTATAATCAAAATTTATAATCAAATTTTAGGTTAAACCACCTCAACTGGATCCAGATAAAGTTGCTAGTCAAATAGCTGAAAAAGTTGGATTTGATTCTGGAATATCTTACTCTGAGATTGCTAATAAAGCTATTGAATATGGTAACACAAAATGTGCTATAAGGGTAAATTATAACTTTGTCCACTACTTTATTAAAAAATTCATTTTCATTCATAGGCATTTAGATTTTTGAAATTCATATTTATATTTAACTAGTTATTAGATTATGAAGTTAGAGCTTCAGAACAAGTTCCATTACTAATTAAACTGAATCAAGATATTCAGGCAATGAGTAAAGCGATAGACAGTGGTGAAAGTGATTTAAGTAAGTGAAATTAAAAAAATAATAATAAATAATTTGAAGAGAAAATGAATAAATATTTATATTATTTTTCAGTATATTATGTTATTTTACATCTAAAAGAAACTATGGATCCTGGAGAATTTCACATGACACTTAGAAATTTCAGTGTTGCATATGCACTGTTTTTAAAGGTTAATTTTATAATTAACTTTTATTAAATAATTATAAAATACTATTTTAAGTACATTAAATATAATTATTCAGTTATGCAAAGAACAAGATTTAGAGATGTTAAGAAACATTTATTACCAAGAAGATGATTTTGCATCTGAAGGTAATTGCCGCATTCTAGAAAGTTATCAGGTGGGAGATTTAAAATTTTGTAATGAAGAAAAATTGATAAAAACTGTATTAAAAACAATTGTATATTTTATTTAGCATGTTGATAAGAGAATCACCACATTACAGTTGGCCTTGGATAGTTACAAAAAAGCAAAAAATGACTTTGCTGTTAAAGTAAATTCATTACTGTTTATATATTGATTTAATTATTATTATTTTGTATGATGATGATTGTATTTTAACTAATTTTTAGTGTACAGAAGAACAAATTCAGCTTGTAAAATATCAACAGAAATTAGAAGTAAAATTTGCACAAAAATATGTGGATTTATCAGTTCATCAAACAATAATCAAATTATTGAAACAGAAAGAATATAAAGTAGCTGAAGCTTTATGTAAGGACTTTAAAACACCTGATAAAAGGTTTGTTTTACAATGATATATATTCCTATTATATATTTGTTTCATTAAGGCATCACTGTCTTAGTTATTAAAAATAAATAGTATATCTTACCTTTTACCTCTGTCTTAGATAACATTTTATACTTTTATGTAACTACTAATATTTATCACATAAAGTACATAAGTTTTTTTCTTCATTTTTATTAGTGTTTATATTAAATTGTCATCAAATTATTATTTTTATTATTTATCCATTGTAATAAATTTTGAACAAAAATACATAAGAATATGTAAATGTTACTTTTTACTTATTTATTAGAATATTAAATTCTGATAATTTATTATTTATTTATTTAGAATATTCTAATAATAATAATTACATTAAAATATACTTAATTCTTATTACAACTACTGAATTTTGATTCTTATAATTATAAAATATTTTAAAATTATATCTAAATTTTTAATATATCCTCTTGAAAATATTTCTTAATTATAAATTTCAGTTATAATAATAATCTAAAATTGAAATCAAATAAGATTGAGCATGGGTAGTAAAGTAACTTTAATAAATTCTCTAATTATTTAAAAAACAAATAAAAATTACATCTAGTTTTTTGTCAGGAAAAATATTTTTAATAAATAAAGGTGTAATAATTTTTTTGAAATGTAGTGATAATTTAGTAAAATCTTTGTTCACATATGTCACTTTATTAGTACATTAAGAAGTATGAATATGAAAACAGTTTACTTGATTAATTTTATAGTTAACTATTTTAATTTTCTATTTGTTTCTATGAATCAACAACAGATTTTTCAGTCAAATTTACCTCAAATAAATTAATTTATAACATCATTATTAATATCTTGATTATTACTTTTAATAAATAATGATTAATAAAAATGAAACATTTTGGATTAAATGTAATAATTTTATATACAAAAACTTATCACATCCCAAATAGTTAATTTTCAGAATATCAAATATTCAGTCATTTCTGAAATAAAACTGTTCAGTTATTCAGCTATTAAATAATCAGTATTTTATGAAAAATTTTTCAAATCAATTTAAAACTTTGGATGAAAGTATGTGTAAATTTTTTTAATTTTTAACAAATATATTTTTAATGTGTTTAGAATTTTTTAAATTTTAACAAATTTAAAGTAATGTTTTTTTACCTTTGTAGAATTTATAAATGAAATTGTTAACATATATTTTGTTTTATCTCTTCAATAATAATGATACTCCTGTTTAATGTTATTTAGTGCCCATGTTTCAAAAAATCTAATGGGATGTATTTTGTTTATAGAATACTTCATTTAAAAAATTAATATTTTCTTCATTTTTATTAGTGTTTATATTAAATTGTCATCAAATTATTATTTTTATTATTTATCCATTGTAATAAATTTTGAACAAAAATACATAAGAATATGTAAATGTTACTTTTTACTTATTTATTAGAATATTAAATTCTGATAATTTATTATTTATTTATTTAGAATATTCTAATAATAATATTTTTAGAAGCATTTTATTTGAAAACAAAGGAGATGCTTTAACAAACTTCTTAATTTCATGAATGTTTTCAAAATTTTTTTTGAAAAAGAGAAGAAAATTGAATCTTTTGAATTAAAATGTTTTTGATCTTATCAAACCATGTTTCTTTTGCTTTTGTAAATATATACAAACTTTCAAGTTAATTTATCAAATTCAGTTGAGAACTATAGATTTAGAATATATAAACAGATAAAAATATTATTTTATAATTATTGTTATTTAAATTTTTGATCATAATTAAAAATTTAATAATAATCTTTATGATTTGTATTTTATATAGTTACNATGCCAAGGAAGAGAGGAAGGAGCAATTAAATAATTAAAATTGTAAAGGATTAAAAATAATATATAAAAATGGGGGAATATCGCACTTCTGACAATCGCTGCAATTGTGTGGGCTAAATTTGGAGGATCCGTGCTTCTCACATGGACAAGTGTATGTGGCCAACTCACGCGTCGGAAGATCTTCTGATTTATTTGTGTATGCACCAGACGGAAAAACAAAAAAATATCGTGTATCCACAAGCACTCCAATAAATAAATAGAATTGAAATGATACTTTGAAATGTTTTCCCGATGAAAATGAATAATAATAAGTTTCAATAAAAATGATAAAATGTAAATTGAATTTTATCATAATGAGTTTGCTTGAATTTTCTTTCTTCTGAGATCACAGCAATGCACGACGGGTAAGCTAGTTTGTAATAAATATTGAATGACTATATTGATTTAGATGTTGTTTTCAGTTATTATAGTTTCTGGAAGCAACAATGCATCCAATAATTTACTTTCTGTTGATGGTACTGGAGGATTTATAAATGTATATTGATGTTTTATTTAGTTCACTAAGATTTAAATACAGTGGTTTAAAGAAAATAGTTAAATTTATACAATGATATGTTTTGCTGTATAAGTTTATAAAAAAAAAAATAACAGTCTGTCAATAAACCTACATAATAAACCTACATATGGTGTGACTTAGTTAATGAGAGGACATAATATTGTTGAACTTTATATTACTCTTAATTAAAAAATTTCATAAAAGAAGTTTTAATTTTGAAGATGTAGAAATTTTTTGAGATTGATACTGACTTGTTTCAAGCCATACTGAAAACAGGTCTGTATCAAACTTCAGAGAAAATAAAAAATGACTTGGAATGCATAAAGCAACTCTTTTGAAGAATATTCAAAAAATTTGTTTGTATTTGTGTCTAAGTTCAAAATTAACTCAGCAACAGCAATTTAATGGATCCTGCTAACAGTTTTAAAACTTTGGATGAAAGTATGTGTAAATTTTTAAAATTTTTAACAAATATATTTTTAATGTGTTTAGAATTTTTGTATTGCTTCTCAATGATAACAATAATAATGCTTTTTGGATATCACCAGAAATGAAAAATGGCTTCCATATAACAACAATTGAATTTTGATACTTGACTATGTAATATTGATTCAAAGTAAACTTGTTGTCATAATTGAACATAAATGTAGACTTGAAAATAGATTTGATAACTATCAAAACAGTCACTTTATTTATCAGACTTACACCATCATGTTCAGTTTTGTGAGTTATTCTCAATCTTTCTGTGGTTGTAGAACACCATTTATATACTTTTTAATAATTGGGTCATTAGCATCAATACAGTCAAAATCTATAAACAATTTCAATAGAAACAATAGAAAATTTCAGTCATTTATTATCAATCATCAGTTGTCACATGTGATATATTTTATTAATATGAATACAACTGATATAAAATACAGTGGGTGATCGGTTAACGAACAAATCGGATAACGAACACTTTGGCGAAAGATTTTTATGTTCGGATAACGAACACCCCACAGAACAAACACAAGAAGAAGCGACATAAAATAATGAATACTGATTGGTCTTCCCTTGTCTTCGGGCAACAATTCGAAACTTTTTGGAGTGCAGGAGACGTCGACATCGATGCTCAAGCCGATCGGATAGTATTCCTCCAAACTTTGAAATCCTCCCTTGTAATTCCAGCCTTTTATTTTTCTGAGACGCAAGACTGTCGGGTAGGCATTTGTTAAGTTTTGCATCTGTTTTTCTTTTCGAAAGATGAGAGTATAATAGCAAAGGTAGAGAGTGGACAGAAGATACCTAATGTTGCTGGGCAACATGGAATAAACAGGTCTACAGTAGGCCTCAGTTCAATCTTATTTAAGAAAAATGCTGTATAATCAAAAAGACTGCAGCAGCTAAAGCAGTAACAAAAATCACTTCTGAGAAATAAAGAACATCGAAGAGTTCGTAATGGAACCTGAAACGGATTTGACGACAGAAGAACGCCTAGAACTTTTGAATGAAGAACACCAAGAAACTCTGCAAGATATGTTTTCTTCTGAAAAAGAGGATTAATGTCGATATCTGTTATTAAAGATCTTTTGTAGAAGTGGGAAGATGTCAGAACAACGGTCTTAGAATGGCATCGAAACCATGTTGAGGCTTGGGGACCTCTACAATTACAATGCTATTAATTACTTACGAAAAATCGTGAAGAAGAGAGAAAAGCAATCGACGTTAGACAGATTCTTTAACCCTTTCAAAAGGAAAAAAACATTACTAATTAAAACGCAACACTGTGTATGTATGTAGTTTTATTATTACATATAAATAAACGTAGTAAGAAGGTATATATTTTTTATTTTTTAAAGTTTCCAGAACGAATTAATTAAATTCCCATTAAAACCTACGGTAAATCAATAATCGGTTAACGAACAATTCGGATAGCGAACAAAATCTTGGAATGGATTATGTTCGTTAACCGATCACCCACTGTATACTTATTTTCATAAATTTCATTTTTCTTTAAGTATACTTTCAATTCTTATTATAGATTTAGGTTGCTATAAAACATTGCATGTTTTAACATTAAGTAAGTTTGTTTTATCATGATTTAAATAACACATATTTGATCTAATAGAACATTACAAGCATTAAATAAACAATTAATTTTTTTTTATTAGTTATATTTGTATATGTATCTGTGTGTGTATTTGGTAACTATGTTGTCAAGTAACATATGTCATATCATATAGGAAATAGCGCAGTGGCATGCAGTGACATTTGATGATAGGGAAGCTGTGCTGGCCCTGGATAGAATCTTGAAAGCATTATACGATATTTTGGAATGTAGCATCCACAAGCTAAACCACTTGAGTTTGGTACTCTGTATGCAAATGCGTATAATTGGCTGCTTTACACGATTCAAATATTTTTGTTGCAGAAGCTGTCCCGTATTCGACACTACAGCGCTTTCATTGGGAATATGCATACATGAATTTATATTCAAATATACAATAGTAATCTTATTATTTATTTCACATGTAGTATAGAAATAAGATACATAATGCAGTTATAATAAAATGTTAATTTTAATTAATTTAAAGTGGGTAAAAATATGAAAATAATTGCACANGTGCTATAAGGGTA